AAAAAAAAAACAACAACATACTCACTGCTGTCAAGTCGGTTCCAACTCAGAGCAACCCCTCCTTGGGTTTCTGAGGCTATATCTCTATGGAAGTAGATTGCCCAATCTTCCTTCTGAGGAGTCTGAACTGCCAGCCTTCTGGTTAGCAGTCAAATGCCTTAGGCACTATGCCACCAGAGTTCCCCATAATATCACACACAAGTAAAATTTTGCTGAAGATAATTAAAAATGGTTGCAGTAATACATGGACAGGGAATTTCCATAAATTCAAGCCAGATTCAGAAAAGGACGCAGAAAAGAGAGATATCACTGCTGATGTCAGATGGATTTTGGCTGAAAGCAGAGGATACCAGAACGATGGTACCTGTGTTTTATTTTCTAAGCAAAGATATTTGACTGTGTGGATCATAACAAATTCAGATAACACTGTGAAGAATGGGAATTCCAGAACACTTACTTGTGATGAGGAACCTGTGTACATAGACTAAGAGGCAGTCATTCAAACAGAACGAGGGGATACTGCATGATTTAAAATCAGGAAGGGTGTGTATCAGGGTTGTATCCTTTCACCATACTTATTCAGTATGCATGCTGTGCAAATAATCCAAGACACTAGACCATCTGAAAGGGAGCTCTGGTAGCATAGTGCCTAACGCACTTGACTGCTGACCAGAAGGCTGGCGGTTCAAACCCACCAGCCACTCCTCAGAAGGAAGTTGGGGTGATCTACTTCAATAGTGATGTTATCTCAGAAACCCAAGGAGGGGTTGCTATGAGTCAGGTCCAACTCGACGGTACATAACAACAACAACAACAACAACAACAGACTATCTGAAGAAGAAAGCAGCATCAGGACTGGAGGAAGACTCCTCAACAACCTCCAATACACAGACAACACACCCTTGCTTGCTGAAGATCAAACATTACAGCCTTCAGTATGGATTACACCTCGACATAAGGAAAACAAAAATCCTCACAACTGCACCAATAAGCAACATCATGATAAATGGAGAAAAGACTGAAGTTGTCAAGGATTTCATTTTACTTGGATCCACAATCAACATCCATGGAAGCAGCAGTCAAGAAATCAAACAAGGTATTGCATTAGACAAATCTGCTGCAAAAGACCTCTTTAAAGTGTTTAAGAGCAAAGAGATCACATTGAAGACTAAGGTGAATCTGACCCAAGCTATTTACAATAGCCTCATATGCATGTGAGAACTGGACAACGAATAAGGAAGACCCTGGAAGAACTGATGTATCTGAATTGTGGTCTTGGCGAAGAATACCGAATACCGTGGACCGCCAGAAGAATGAACAAATCTGTCGTGGAAGAAGTACAGCCAGCGTCCTCCTCAGACACGAGAATGGCCAGACTTTAGTGACGTTGTCAGGAGGGACAGTCCCCGGAGAAGGATAGCATGCTTGGTAAGAGCTCTGGTGGCATACTGTCTAAGGCACTCGTCTGCTAACCAGAAGGCTGGTGGTTCAAACCCACCAGCCACTCCTCAGAAGGAAGGTTGGGCAATCTACTTCC